GCGCGGACGAGACATCTAGCCTTTATTATGGATATCTATGGTTTTAACACACTCAGGGAGTTTAGAAACGGTGCACATTTGATAGAGAGAACAACTGCTGCTGGAGTGACTTTTGTGCTAAGATTATAGACATTTTTCATGCTCAAACAGCAACATTACACACTAAAGGAAGTTGAACATGTAAAAAAGCTTTATTGATCCTCTTAAACAGCATTAAACAAGAAGTTGCAAATATTCTTTTCTTCCCTATTGGGATGTATATCCGAGTGAAATTACTTTGCAAACAAGAACAAATGTAGGACGGGGCTTGATTTTGTCCTTGGAGAATTGATTGGATGGTTGTGGTTTGCTATTGGTGGATCTCATGTGAGTGACAGGTTGCCCCGCCCTCATGCCGGTGAACACATCATCAGACAAGAGATTTTTCATTAGAGAAGTAATTTTCAACAAACTTGTGAACCATCACCCATCGTAATAGCGAGTTCTGCACAACAAATGCCACTCACATTTTCTTCAGGAAATGGAGTTGCTCTTTCACAAAGGCTGCAATTCAATTGGTCTCAAATTTTAATATGATTAATGAAATAAAAGAAGACAGAATACTTACTCAACTCTTACTCTACACAGGCCTGAAGACAACAAAGAAACAACGACAAAAGAGTCAAAAGAACTTAAGAAAAAGCTCGAAAAAGAAGAGAAGAAACGCTTGGAGCAGGAGAAGAAAGAGAAGAAAGAGCGAGAGAAAAGGCAGCAGGAGGCCAAGAAAAAGTTTAAAGTGATGTATCTGTTTTGATATTATGTGGCACTGGCAGTAAGGTTTTTTTTATTTTCATGAATCTCATAAAACCTGTCTAGAACATGCCTGGAGGAGACACGTGTCACTTCTAAATCAAAATGATATTTCAGATTAGAAGATTTTTTTTTAGGATTATGACATTATATTTTTCATAATCATGTAGAATTTTTTCTCCGTAATCATAGGAGTATTTGCTTTGATATAAATGACTTGGTTCATGCTGGTTTTAAAAATCAAAAATTAGAACTTGTGGATAGAAATCAATCTTAATTTAAGTTATTAAAGGAGTAGTTCACTTTTAAAAAAAACTTTCACTGATAATTTACTCACCTGCATGTCATCTAAGATGTCCATGTCTTTCTTTCTTCAGTCGAAAAGATATTAAGGTTTTTGATGAAAACATTCCAGGATTTTTCTCCATATAATGGACTTCAAGGTCCAAAAGACAGTTTCAGTGCAAACTGTTCAAAGGGCTTTAAACGATTCCAGACGATGAATAAGGATCTTATCAAGCGAAACAAACGCTCATTTTAAAAAAATAACAAAGTTTAAGTTTTATAAGCTCAAATGGTCGCCTTGCTCTGTTCTGTGATGCGCGTTCGTGACTCTTCTGTTCGCACTCGTTCATCAAAATGAATGAATCTTTTTCCTAGTCAATTCGTTCATTTCGTTCGTTTAATGAACCAAATGATACAAAAAGATTTGTTAATTTTGAGTTTGAACAGGAGAGTCACGAACGCGCATCTGTCTTTTGGACCTTGAACCGTTTGGTTCCCATTGAAGTCCATTATATGGAGAAAATCCTGGAATGTTTTCATCAAAAACTTAATTTCTTTTCGACAGAAGAAAGAATGACATGGACATCTTGGATGACATGGGGGTGAGTAAATTATCAGCAAAAGTTTTTTTTAAAAGTGAACTACTCATTTAAGTGTGAGTGTGTGCGCTAGGGTGTTCTGGGTGGTTGCTATGGTGTTGCTAAAGTATTCTAGGCGGTTGCTGGGTGTTCTCGGTGGTTGCTATTGTGTTGCTATGCGGTTTGCTTGGGTATTCTGGGTGGTTGCTAGGGTGTTCTGGTGGTTTCTAGGCAGTTACTATGGTGTTCTGGGTGGTTGCTATGGTGTTACTAGGTGGTCGGTAGTTGTCACAGATGGTTATGGAGTTTTAATCGAGTTCTTAAAATCTTTAGTAACGAGTGCTTTAGTACGGCATGTGTGTATTGTGTACCCATACATATAGACATTAAGTAGCCTAACTGGATTTTTTGTGTGTTTATAAACTATAAGCACTGGAAACTTCACCATCACTGTAATCTCTGCTTGGATAGATCAAGGATATGACTGCCGTAGTTGACACAGTGAAGGCCAGAGTGGACCACAAAGGTGGGAAGAACAAACTTCCACTGAAGCAGGGAGAGACCATTGAAATTGTGCGCAAAACAGAAAACCCGAAGGACTACTGGCTCGCCAGGAACACTGAAGGCCACTGTGAGTTCATCTGCCAGTCTGCACTGGATTACACACACTACACATGTGCTGATATGTCCTGTTAAACTGAACAGACTGAATTTGTCTCTTCATCGTGGAATAGCTGCTATTATTGGTGTGTTTTTCCATATAGATGGTTTTGTGAAGCCTGACACTCTAGATGTGCGCGGTGAAGTGAGACACACACATGATGGACAGGAGGTGTATGATGATGTGGGTGCTGGGGATGAACTCAATAGGTAAGAGAGTAACTAGTACACTTATTTAGATTATTAACATTATTGAGCTTAATTTATTATATGTTTAAAAAAAAATCTGTTTTTTTTTTTAGTCTACCAGATGGTAAGTCATTGCATTATACATTTAATTAATATAAATGAAAACAACATTGCAATCATTTACCGAGGGTCAAGTGAAGGAAACGTAAAAGGATATCATTTTTTGTTTGTTTCCCCTTGTTCACAATTTTGTCATGCGACTGACAGCAGTTGAATGTGATGATGATATTTATGCAGAGTGTGCAGAAGATGCTCAAGCTGACTTGAGGTGATTTCATTTTTCATGTTCAAAAGCTCTTAATATTTCACAAAAACGGGTATATGCATCCAAGCAATTACAGCACTTTTCAGTTTTTTCTGTTTGATTTTTAAAAAAAATCTTTTTAAACCTTTATTCTCTTTTATAGTGTTTTTATAGTTTTTGTATATATATATATACAGTATATGTTTATATATATATGTGTGTGTATTATAATATGTACATATGTATTTTCATGGAAACTGTGATGCATTTTTTCAGGATAATTCGATCGAGCTTTAATTTGAAATGGAAATCTTTTTTAATATTATAATTATATTTACTGACACTTTTGATCATTTTAATGCATCCTTGCTTTCTGAATAAAAGTATTATTAACCAAATTAAGCAAATTAATTGAAATAAACATATATCTCTAAATTTAGGGGATTTGAGCTTATGTATAATAAATGCATATTGTTTGTAATATTTTAAATAATGTTTAAAATGTATATTAAACATATATTTGTATATAAATACACATTACTAGTTTCATATATATATATATATATATAAAACACTGATCTGTGCAGCTTTCGCTTAGATAGGTGACAGTCTAAAGGTTTTTTTAATTAAATATTATTTAAAGCAGCTTTAACCCTTGTGAAGCGCATATGGATTTACTGCCATTTTTCTGTCATTTCGCAGCTTCCTGCCTCCACCCCCTCCAGCTGACTTTGAATTTAATGTTGTGGGTGAGTAAAACTCACTTTAACTGTACATAAATATAATATTAATTTAATTAATAATCTAATAGCACTGTATTTCATTGAACATTTAGAAGCGCAGAAACTGTAATGGTTGCTTACTCCTATTTAACACAAACTCATGAAGCTTAAACTGTAACATAGGTTTGATTCCCTGGGAATGCTAATCTGGCCCTAGCCAGATGAATGTCGTTCCGCTTAGCTCCGCCTAGCTTCACTCACATCCATCTGGAACCTCTTCCATTGAGAGTGATTTCTCCAACCAACTTTATGGCTTAGCCAATCAGGACGCAGGGCGGGAGTTTCATAGATGTGACGTAGTGGAGAAGCGACCATGAGACTGTTTTGATTCAGACAACAATGGTGGCTCGCATCGAGAAAGCAAGCGTTAACATTGATGCTGCATTGATCATTTACCGACATTGCGCTGATTGCACTGCTGCTATATCCAAGATGTCAGCTGTTCTGTTTTGTTTTTTCCTGCGTCGCTCTCATCAGCATCACGGGTTGGCTTCGGTGTGAGTGGTTGAAACAGCACGTCGATAAAGATGACAGACAAGTGGCTTATCCAATCATATGCAAGGATTTTTGATAAGGCCCAGCCTTCTGAAACGCCATTTCAATGGATCGGTTCCAGATGGATGAGTGGAGCTAGGCGGAGCGAAATTCATCTGGCTAGGGCCAGGTTATGGGAATGCATGATTACATGAAGTGCAAATCATATCTTGGATGCAGTGTAATTCAATTTGGATGAATGTATCTGCTTTAAAGGGATAGTTCACGTTGAAATGAATTTTTGGTATGTTTTAGCTTACCTCAAGGGCATCCAAGATCCACTTTGTTTCCGCAGTATTTTCAATTTTGATATTTTTAGGTCAAACCGTTCGTGTCTGTCAGTCATACAATGCAGGTCTATGGTCACCACCTCAAAGAGCATGCACAGAGAAGTCCAAATTAAACACGATTTAATGACTCGTAAATGTAAGTACACACTGATGGCAGTATTTATACGAACAGTATTTATATTGTTGTTACCACAAAATAATTAAAAATTGGCTGTGGTTACAAGAGGTAAAAACGATATAAATACTGTTCGTTTTCTCACACAACCCGCTCGTTTCGTGTCTTAGGCCATCAATGTGTACTTACATTTACGAGTCATTAAATTATGTTTAATTTGGACTTCTCTGTGCATGCCCTTTAAGGTGGTGACCATAGACCTCCATTATATGACTGATAGACATGAACGGTTTGACCTAAAAATGTCAAAATTGAAACTACTGCGGAAACAAAGACACCTACATCTTTGATGCCATTGAGGTAAGCTAAAACATACCAAAAATTAATTTCAAAGTGAACTATACCTTAACGTAAATGCTCCACCCAGAAATGCTCCACCCTGCTCTGAGTTGGTTTTGGTTTATGCCCAGCAGATGCCGCTGATGGCGCGTATGATGACACCTATGATGATGTGACTGCATCAGACTTCCCTCCACCTCCTTCTCCTTGCAGGTTACTGTACACATGTGACAAAAGAAGAATAGCAGACACCAATGTTCATCGACATGTTGTTTTAGGAGCCCGTCCATTTAATGAGAATTGGCAACGAGGTCACTTTAAGATCGTTGACTATAAACGTTGGCCTTTTACCTCAAATGGCAGCTTCAAAATTATGTAAAATCATAAAATCATGTATCTTTCCTTTTCTTGTTCACTGCAGCAATCGAAAGTGCAGCTCATCAAGCGAGACAAACGTGATGGACCCAAAGAAAAAGAAAAAGTTTGAGAAGGAGGAAAAAGAGTTTAGGAAGAAGTTCAAAGTAAGACTTACACCATTTTGATGGTCAGTGAGATGATTCTGTATACTTAACCCTCTTACTGCCTCTTCTTGCAGTATAATGCAGAAATCAGAGTGCTTTATCAAGCTACTGTTCTCCCATCACTGTCTATGAAGAAGTTTGGTAATAAAGACCTGCCGATAAAACCCGGAGAAATGATTGATGTGATAGTTCACCCCGTTGATGGCAAACTCATCTGCCGAAACAGCGAAGGGAAATGTGAGTTGATTGAGGATATAATAATACCAGTGCTGAGTTGCACATTACAGCCAAATAGGAAACGTATTAAATAGTCTCTCTCTGTTTCAGTTGGCTATGTGTCTACTGCTAATTTGGAGCAGTAAGTACAGTCTTCTTGTTCAGTTCTCTTTCTATTCTGGTGCATATTTTTGCATGTAAACATTTTTACTAGTCATTAACTACAGTTTTTTTTTTGTTGTTGCTTTTTTAAGCACCCCTGACTCATTTGATGAGCCTAAATATTTGTGAATATTACTGTGTACAATTCAGCAATAGCATCAGCCACCCTTTCTCTCTTGATATTAAAATAGTTTTGGCTGATCAGTTGACCCCCAACTTCATATTTTTTTGTCTCACTTCCTCTCCTCTCTAAGGGACGGATCTGTTTATGATGATGTTGGTAATGGTAAGGTTTAACTTGCACAGGCACAGTTGATGAATATGTTTGTTTACATCCTTTTACTGCAATTAACTGTTTCTACTTTATCTTGTAAGTTACAGAGTGTATCTACGACAATGATTGAGCACGGATCAAATCAGCATGTTTTCATCACTTTGAACATCCTTATCGATCCTTTCACAAAAACAATGTTTTATCATTGTTTGAGAATGATATAATTGTACATAGTAACCTCAGTGAAAATAAAGCAATGTGATCAAAAACTGTAAACATGTTCTTTCTTTCTTTCATGAATTGAATGTTTTGCTCTAACAACTTGAACTAAAATGTAAAAATGTACACCAGCGAAGCGACATTTTAATTTAAATGTACATTTAAAATAAAAATGTCAAAATGTGACACCCCAAGCCATCCAAAAAGAAGTTTTGACGATGGAAACAAACTAAACCTTTGCGCTTGAGACTGAATGGTAAAGTTTATAATGTTATAATATTTTAACGAACCACGAACCTTTAATAAAACAGTGTGTATATATATTAAAACTCAATAAACGTTAGCTTTTAGAGCATTTTCTGACGCCCAAGATAATGAAAGAAAAAGTAAACCTCGCGAGAGTTTACGAGAGTTCCGGTGTTGTGATGATGAACGTCCCTGCCAACATGGCGGTCAGCATCCGCGGCCGTCCGACCCGGAGTGTACGGATGAGAGGCAAGTTAACGGCACCCACACCCCCGTCACCATGCGCAGCTTGCTCTGATTAAATCCCTCCGCTTGTGTAGTTTCCGTTAAGCCTCGGATAAGGGATTAATATGTCTTCATTGTTACGTTTTTTGTGTTTGACAGGTCGGAATGACAGCGGGGAGGAGAATGTACCGCTGGATCTTACGCGGGGTAAGAGTCATCATAGAGATCATAAGGAATATCTCATCAGTGTCTTTCTGTAATAATAACACCCAGACCATTAACAAATCCCCCTTAAATTCAAGATATTAGCAATAATAATTGTCCATCTCCTCTCTCTGGCCTGCAGACAGGAGAATGAGACTGAATAAGATGTTGTTTGTCTCAAAAACTAATGGGTTTCCTATATAGACTGCATGTTTTGCGCCCGTGAAGCCCCAAATATGCGGTCTAGCTAGGCAGCTCACTAGGATTTGGGACCTAGCTGTTGTTTTGATCTGTAATGCACAACCCCATCAGTTTGTGTTGTCTAGTTAGTGAGCATCTGCATGTCAGCAGAATAACTGCAGTGCTTTTAGCTCGAGACTGTCGTGTTTTTGTCATGTTGTAAACAAACGTGCGTCATCATGATGCCTCCATATCTGCGTATGCTGCCTTATAATTTTTTTTTTAAAGGTTTCATTCTCTGATTCATGTAATCTGGTGGTTATTAAATGCATAAAGTCTTAGACTAGCCTTATCTTGATGAATCATGCAGTGACATCTTTCTTGAGAAATGTAACGTTACTATTTGAAGACTAATTTCTTGTATATGCAAAAAATCACTCATATAAGATCCTGAGAGGTTCTGCACAGGGGAAATTATGCTACATACGGTGATAAATGTATTTACATTTTGTTGTAATTTTAAGAGCTTTAAAGAACATCAAGAAATTAAATAAACATATTTTCCAGTTGCACTAAAATATCTGATGTATTATGTTCCAGTGGATGTTTTTAAGGATTTTAATTTTATATTTTATGCTTTCCACAGAACCCTCCGATAACCTGCGTGAGATCCTTCAGAACGTTGCCAAATCTCATGGGGTTTCCAACATGAGGAAGCTCGGCCACCTGAACAATTTTGTAAAGGTAGTGCAACTTTTATTTATGCTGGTTGTTGTATGATTTCAGATCATAACTAGGTCTTGCACTGAAAAATACTACAAATAGTAAATGTAAACATGGTATAATGTGTAAAATGGAGCTGAGAATACTTATAATCTCACCAACCGCCGAAAGCAAATTTCCCAAAAATACTTGCAATAACTGCATGGTCTCATGTTTGTATTGCAAAAGCTATTTAGGAAGCAGGGGCATCAATTGGGTGTGGTGTCTTCCTGGTCAGGTCAATACAATACAAAGTAATATATTTATTCCAAGATTAACAGAGTTGTATTAGTACGGGTAACATAGAATTTGTAATTGTTTAATAAATCTGGTTGTTATATTCGTCACATGAGTTCAACAGCGCTGCAAATGTGTATTTACAACGGGATTTTGCAGCGTTGTCTTGTCTATTGTAGCCAATCACAGGTGTTTCTGATGAATATAACGTCCAATCAGAGGAGTTACCACCAGTAGTGAGAATCGACACAGTATTGCTCAAAAAGCTGAGTGAGTTTGTTTTGTGCAAGTTTTACTCGCGCACAAATCCTCTTATTATAAAAAACAAAGCGGACACGATGTAAATAAAAGATTCAGTGTGAAGTTTAGTCAGATTCATTGATTAAACCTAGAAAAATGTATTAAATGAAGGCTATCTGTCATAGATATATACACTAGATATCACCTTGGCTACGGCAGTTCATTAGAACGAATGCTTCAATAAATGCGATTTTCTCGTGTTTTTTTTTTTTTTTTGGTTCATTCCAACGGTCAGACGTATTTATCATTGATTTCAAAACATTCTTCCTAGTTCAGATTTCATTCGTGAACATCATACGAAGAACAAAAGTCCGCTGCCATTCATTAATTCAAAGTAAAGCCAGAGATAGATGCGTTACCTAGCTACTTCCTTGACACTAGACCCCTGTTCCAAGATGGCGGCATAATTCCGAATATCACAAATTAATAACTTCAGCTTACAACTACTATAAGTATCTCCAACTTTGTCTGCACACCGTACAGTATACTCACATAAAGCAAGTAAACATCTCAACTGCTTGATTGTTTATAGTATATTGTCACAAAATGTAAACTATATTATCGCACTGCTCTAATCTGATAAATGCGACTATTTAACATTACATCATCATGATTATCTGTACAGATTCTAATCTAAACAATGTACTAACAAATAAATGGGACTTGACAAAGATTGATTTTAGAGTCAATAAGATTGAGATACACTGAGTTAATGATTCTTTTTTTTTTTTGTAATGTAAATGAGGTGTTTTTTTGGCCTGGTCCTGTAAGAAGATCTGTTCTGTAACATGGTAAACAGCAGCAGTGTGTGTGTGTGTGTGTGTGTGTGTGTGTGTGTGTCTATCTTGGGAGCCCTCCTCTCACTTTCACTTTCTTTCTGAGAGAGTTTGTTTTGTGTGTGTGTGTGTGTGTGTGTGTGTGTGTGTGTGTGTGTCTTGGGAGCGCTCCTTTCACTTTCTTTCTGAGAGAGTTTGTTGTGTGTGTGTTGTTTATCTTGGGTGCCCTCCTCTCACTTTCACTTTCTTTCAAAACAGAGTTTGTTTTGTGTGTGTGTCTGTGTGTGTGTGCGTGTGTGTGTGTGTGTGTTGTCTATCGCCCTCCTCTCACTGTTTGTGTGTGTGTCATCTTGGGTGCCCTCCTCTCACTTTCTTTCTGAGAGAGTTTGTTTTGTGTGTGTGTGTGTGTGTGTGTGTCCATCTTGGGTGCCCTCCTCTCACTTTCACTTTCTTTTGAGAGAGTTTGTTTTGTGTGTGTGTGTGTGTGTGTGTTGTCCATCTTGGGTGCCCTCCTCTCACTTTCTTTCTGAGAGAGTTTGTTTTGTGTGTGTGTGTGTGTGTGTGTGTCCATCTTGGGTGCCCTCCTCTCACTTTCTTTCTGAGAGAGTTTGTTTTGTGTGTGTGTGTGTGTGTGTGTGTGTCCATCTTGGGTGCCCTCCTCTCACTTTCACTTTCTTTCTGAGCGAGTTTGTTTTGTGAGTGAGAGTTTCATCTCAGTGTGACAGAGGTTAAAACTTAAGACTGTTTTTCATTGATTTGATTTGTGTGTGTGTTTCTTTGCTGAATAATAACTCAAGCGGTGTGTGTGTGTGTGTGTGTGCATGAATACCGTGTATGGCCTTTTAAGGATGCTGAGATAGAGGCGATGTAATCCTCTCCGAGGGTCACACGACCCCTTCAAACTTGCTGAGCTCTGACATCATCATAAACACATGCACACAGCCTGCCAAGGTCATCACACTACTGCTCAGTAACACACACAGACATCTTTAATAGACACAGCGCTCTTATTTTACACTGTAAGATCAGCGTAGTGCAATTGTTGATGTGTTGATGTTTTATTTTTGGGTTCGGTTTATGAAGCTCATCATTACCAGATGATGTTTTGCATCTTTGATCATATTCAAAACAGCTTTGGGAAATTTGAAAAAGGATGAATTTTAAAGAATATTATACATGTATTTTGTTTCCTGGATGCTTATTGGTCAAAACCGTGTTCCAGTTGCACTAAAATACCCAAAATTTGAGCAGCAACTTATTACCTTTGTTTGAATGTCAGAAACTAGGTCTAGTTTGAGTGCAATGTTGATCAAAATAATGTTGTAAGGAAAATCTTTTTTATTATAAATCTTTTTTATCTATAAAATTCTTTATAATAAAATCTTTTTTATTATAAAATTCTGTTTTATACTAATTTTGTGTCTGACAAATCTGAATAATTCCGGATTCTTTGATTAATAGAAAGTTCAAAAGAAAAATAAATATTTTGTAAAATTGTAACATCGTCATTACAGTCACTGTTGATCAATTCAATCGTTTTTTGCTGATTAAAAGTTGTAATTTCTTTTGAAAAAACACTTTTAAACGGTTGTGTATTCTGTGAAATCTATATTAATGCATACATATGTAATTAGCACTATTAATCATCGAAATCAAGGATTTGAATGGTAATTAAAACAATGTCTCTCTCTCATTCTCTCTCGTTCTCTCTTAGCTCCTGAACAGTGTAAGTCACTGTGAAGAGAAATTAGGATTTACCCATGAGGAAATCATCATTTGGTAAGTTTAACGGTTGAACTTTCTCTTATTCTGTTCCAGTAGCTGGTCACTGACTACATAGACAACATCCATCATGGAATCTCGCAGATGAATGATTTGGGTGTTTCTCATTGTGTCTTTATCGGTTTAGTCTGCGTGTGGCATTGCTGAATGAGGTGAAGGAGGTTCGGGCTGCAGGTTTGAGAGCGATGAGGTATCTGATCTGTGACAGCAGCATCCTCCAGAAGGTTCTTCAGCTGCAGGTGGATTACCTGATCTCCAGGTGAGCTCGCACACCTGCTTAACCTCCTCAGTGTCTTCACCAAACAGAGACAATGGGTTTCATTCATG